AAAGTTAATTTTTTCCATTGTCCTGAAAAAGACAGATTGTTTTGACCGGCAGACGGTTGATGCATATTTTTCAGGTTTCGAACTTAAAGTATATTCTACGTTTGACATTTTTTTCTTCGTTTGTCCTGAAAAGGACAGATTGTTTTGACCGGCAGACGGTTGATGCATATAATTCCGTTTTCGAACTTAAAGTATATTCTACGTTTGAAACTTTTTTCGGTGTTTGTCCTGAAAAAGACAGATTGTTTTGACCGGCAGACGGTTGATGCATATTATTCAGTTTTCGAACTTAAAGTATATTCTACGTTTGAAATTTTTTTCGGTGTTTGTCCTAAAAAGGACAGATTGTATTTACTGGCAGACAGTTGGTAATATGGCGTTGAGAGGTTGTCTGGTTCCACAACAGCTGGACTGGTAAGAGAGTCAGTTGAAGGAACTGACTTGTTGCTCCGTTGAAGATTGGGGCCGAATGAGTCTAAATTCTAAAAGCCAAGACAAAATGGAAACAGTGTTTTGAGATGATGAAAGCATCTGAAATAGTGGCACAGATTTGCCATTTACATCCCCCATTGCTTGATACAAATAAATATGTGAACAATGTTCACCATTTGGGAGTTTGATGGGTTTAACAACACTTCCTGTTGCATCCAAATACAACGTTGTTGGGAATTTTTCGAAAAGCAATTGTTGCTCTTTCGTCCAGTAGTATACGAAAGGAGGATCTAATCCTATATTTCGGGTAGCTCCTTCGTATTTCTCACTATATTTTAAAAAGTACAATCCATCCATGGCTTTTGAAGTCTTCTGTGTTGAGAAGGTAAAAGGTTTCTTTCGACAAGTAAATTGCCTACTGCAGAACGAAGCTTTCCCTGGAGATGTCTCTTCTTAACATGAATTGCACTTGAATCAAATTTTTCTATTATGCAATCCATGAAAATTGATTCTCCTTCTTCCGGTTCATTGGCAATTTTTCCAGTGAATATACAGGGACATTCAGAACAAACTGCAGTTACTGTGACGAAAATTCCAGAATCGGATACCTTAGAATAATTAAAACTAAGGGCACAAGGAATATTCGTAACATGATGGATTTCTTCGAATAGTACATGTATCCACGAATTTTTCCTTAATTTTCTCACAGTTCGGTCTCTCCCCAAGAAGCACGTAATATAACCTCAATATCAAGGTAATATTACATGTAAGATTCGTAATATAACGTTGTAATATTACAGTAATCTTACAGTGATCTTAAAATGTCCGCCTCAAGGTAATATTACCGGTAATGTTACTGTAATATTACGCGCTAATATTAAAGTAATATTACAGTAATAGTGCAGTAATATTATACCGTAATATTAAGGTAATGTTACAAGAGAATATTACAGTAATATTATGGGAACATTTCTTTACGAAAAAAATCTACCCATCCAGGGAATCGAACCCCGAACTCAAAGCACACGAGTCCAGAGTTTTACCAACAAGCCAAATTGACTTATAATATATTTACGTTTTTTATGCTTTATGAATAACTTAAATCAGTCTGTAATATTACTGTAATATTACTGTAATATTACCGTTAATATTACAGTAATATTCCCGGTAATATTACCTTGAGGAGGACATTTTAAGATTACTGTAATATTACAGCGTTATATTACGAATCTCACGTGTAATATTACCCTGATATATATATTACGTGCTTCTTGGGTCGTTTTAAATTTATGTAACTCATACTGCGGTTGCATTGACGGCCAAATTTCAGTTACATTAATACGAAATTCAGAAACTTCGTTTTCAAAATCAAGTGTACTATCATTGCTAATAATACTTTCTTGAAATGGTACTTGAATGTTTAACAACTCCGTCAATTCAGTATACACATTGTATCTATTTTGTAAAATAATAGTATAAATATACTTTGGTGCCATAGAATTTTCCTTGTCTAGAGCATAAGAAATTTTTTTATATACTTCTGACGAAGGTGCAGCAACTTGACCACTAGAATTTAATACTTCATGAAATTCCGGAATACGCAATAACTGTTTCAAATTTGTTACTTTTCTCATTATACAGTTTTTTTTGCTAATAATTTTTTTTTGAAACTTAACTTCCCCTTCACTTTCCTCACCATCATTTTTACTGGTATCCATAATGTGAAAACTAAATTTCAGTCTAACTAACCTTATGATAATAGTTAATCTCTAGAATAAAAAGCACTTAAATATTTTCTAAAATAGCTTATAAAATGCGAACACGGTAAAATAAAACCAAATTATAGATTAAATCAATGTAAAATATAACTAAATATACTAAACAAAATATACTTATGATAATAACTCACTAGAGTAAAAATATCTTAAAAAATTTGAACGCAGTAAAATATAACTAAATTATAAATTAAATATCATTATAATAATAAATCACTAAAATAAAAATTATTTAAATATTTCATGAAACTAATTTATTAAATACGAACAATGTAAAATATAACCAAATTATAAGGTAAATATCCTAATAATAGTAATATAGTACAGTAATAATAAATTAAACGACATGCCAATAGAACAGATGCAGAGCGTTCAAGTACTACTATCTGACAAGACCGTATTCTAAAGAGTGACGGTTTTTCATTTGAGCATGCAGAGCGTAAGAGAGACAGACCTACCTCCACTCTTGACTCCTTCACCGTACCGCGCAGGCGCGGTGCTGGTGGGGGTATCTCACACGCTGATTGGCTCCTGCCATGTGGGAAGGGGAAGCGGCGGATGAGACGCAGCAGAGGCGCATAAAGACTGCAATTTTCCTGACTCGCTCTCATTCGGCCCCAATCTTCAACGGAGCAACAAGTCAGTTCCTTCAACTGACTCTCTTACCAGTCCAGCTGTCGTGGAACCAGACAACCTCTCAACGCCATATTACCAACTGTCTGCCAGTAAATACAATCTGTCCTTTTCAGGACAAACACCGAAAAAAATTTCAAACGTAGAATATACTTTAAGTTCGAAAACTGAATAATATGCATCAACCGTCTGCCGGTCAAAACAATCTGTCCTTTTCAGGACAAACACAGAAAAAATGTCAAACGTAGAAAATAATTTAAGTTCGAAACATAAAATGATATGAATTAATCGTCTGCAGTTCTATACAATCTGTCCTTTTCAGGACAATGGAACAAATGAACTTTAGGGAAAAGTTTATTAAGAGATTTTTACTGTGCTCGCTTAGCACAAGTCAGCACAACTTTTGATTTTTAAAAATTTTTATTTTTGAAATTTTTTGTTTAAAAAATTTTAAAAAACATAATTTTCTATCGAAAATATTAATTTTAGGGAAAAGTTTATTAAGAGTTTTTTACTGTGCTGGCTTAGCACAAGTCAGCACAACTTTTGATTTTTAAAAATTTTTATTTAAAAAATTTTTTTTCTAATTTTAAAAAACATAATTTTCTATCGAAAATATTAATTTTAGGGGAAAGTTTATTAAGACTCTTTCGTTTTGCTCAATTAGCACAAGTTAGCACAACTTTTCATTTTAAAAAATTTTTATTTTTTAAAATTTTTCAATTGCAAAAATTTAATTTGTAATAAATGTTTTTTTTTAATTTTTGAAAAAAAAACTTTTTTTGTAGCAAAATATTCTGTGGTGTTTGATGTGTTCAGCACAACTTTGATTTTTTATTTCTAACAAAATGGCGTTTTTATGAAAAAAAAATTTTTTTTGTAATTTTTGCCAAAAAATTTTTTTTTTCGGCACAGTTGAAACCTAGCACAATTCAGCACAACTTTTATTTTTTTGAAAAAACAAAATGGCGTTGCCAACTTCTTGGACATGTCGTGCACATAAAACGTCACGCTATTTTTACCATTTTTGACCCCCCCCCATGACACATTTGGTTCCATACATTAGCACCATTTTTTCTACGGGTCGTCACAAATCTCGATCATGGTAATGTGTAAAAAAAATTGTTATTTGAATAACTAGAAAGATTAAAAACACATTTAAAAAAATTCAATATAACCGTGCAATATTCCCTCAATATCACCTGAATATCCCCTTAATGTAACTGAAATATTCCCGGAATTTGACTACGGAATATTCTATGCCCTACCGAAAGAGTGGTACTGGAATGGTACTGAATTGGACTTGGCTTGAGTTCGACTTCAGTACCACTACCTGATAACCCATAAGAAGACATTTTTAAAGTACTTTAACAATAGTTTTAAAGGTATATAAGATCAACAAACCGTCTCTCACGATATACGTGTAAAACAGCAAAAAAAAACATAATAGTTTGTAGAAAATTTCTGTTAAGTTTGGAAATTATATTGCAATCCCTCCTTGAACAATAGACCCCTAGGTCCTTTGTTGAAGGATTAAAATTTTAACCCGAGTTTTATTGCTTAAAAAATTTGTAATTTTAATAACTCAACTTTAAAAAATATATATTCAGATTCGTTAATATTTCCAGATTATGAATATCTAAAATTTATTATAAAATAATTACATTTAAAAAAGTTATAATTTATCTCGTATACCTTAAGTTTGATAAAAAAATGGACATCATTTTTGAATTTAGCTGCCAAAGGAAATATCATATGCATAATAATGTATGAAAATAATATAAATCCATGAAAAACAAATATAATATTGAAATAAATATAAAGTTTTAGTTTAAACATATTGAAAAAGCTAGTCGCTTTTCACTTTTATGAGGGTATTAACGGTAACTCGACCCTTTTCGCAGGTAAATTTCCCAGTTCCATTTCAGTACCAAAATGCACCAAATTAGTACTGAGTTGGTACTGAGATCTCAGTTCCAATTTCCCAGTACCACCCTTCCGGTAGGGTGGTGGTATTCAAGTGATATTCGGGGAAAATACAGTGCTGCTTTGGTTGAGACTCTGTTGAAAAAACGAGAGTGGGGGGGCATGTTTCCTGAGACAAAAGAAAGGAATAAATATAAAAAGATTTTACAATAAATTTAAATATATTAAACTCACCGACTTAAATCAAATTATCAATAAATGCTGCCCATATTAACAATCTCAACAAATTAACGCTGGTTTACAATGCTCCTAATTTTGGCAACCACTTAAAATATATAATCGTCAATTTTAATTGTTAATCGGCTGTCATACTATTATAATTTCTCCGTCTGACTATTTATCTCGTATAAACTCCAACTCAACAACACACTTTTATTATAATTGTTTTCAACTTTCAATTAAATCCTTTAATACTATTCTATTACACTCTATAATAAAACAACGTTTAATTCTGGTTTTCAAATTAACCAAAATTTACTTTGTGCTCAACATGTGCTCGACCGGAATGGTGGTCTTTATATGTTGCCTGACAACGTGCGCTTTTATGTGCTCTTTCTCTCTCACCGCCGTATTTTGGAATTATCTTAAATTGTAGGAAGTTGGGGAAGCACAAAACTACAGGCGTTTGGGCCAACGCACAATAGCTTCGCAAAAGGGTTGGTTTCCATTGTCTCTACTGTGACGTCTGACGTCTTGATTCTAATAACTTATGGAGCATTTACACCTTTGGTAAAAAAAAATTTTTATTTTGCATTTTCCGAAATACACAAACCTGATTGGTTGTTCACAATCTGATTGATAATAGACAACCAACCAGATTTTTGCATTTCGGAAAATCAAAGTAAAATAATTTTTTACCAAAGTTAAATGCTCCATTACCGTCGTGCTTGATAAACCTGAACTATACATAACATTAATGAGAAATATCTGTTGGAATTTGTAACTCAAATATGAATGTTTAAATTTGTAATCTAGAGTAGTATTAGAATAAAATATGATTTGTAATAATAAAAATGATAAATAATAGATAATGTAGTAATTAGGTATAAATATATAATAGTACTAGACTATTAATAGACTACGAAAAACTGTTATAAATACATTATTAATAGATAATAATAATAATATTAAAATGAAAGAGAGAAATCGTTTTCACAGAAAAAAGGTGGGTAAAAAGTTGTAAAGATAGAGGCTGCAGTCCCATGGCAGCGTTTTGTCACTAGACCCTAAGTGTAAACATAGCAAACATATATCTGCATCTCTTTTACACTCATGGTCTAGTGACAAAACGCAACGCAAAACGCTGCCATGGGACTGCAGCCAGAGGATAAAAGTCGTTATGATACAGGGTAAAGGATAAATTTGTGATGGATAAAAATGTTACTAAAATATTACTAGAAAAATGGATGTCATATTTGAGTAAACTGTCTAATTTTAATAAAAATATTAGTAATTTTACACTTAACTTATTAAATCCACAAATTTTTTATAAATAAGTAATTGCATGTGGAAATATTTTGCCTATAATTATTGTCTATTAATAAAAATATCTTTGACTAATACAACTGACAGCTGACGACAGTGCGTAAATAATCAGAACTGGGAAATTACAACTCACCGTCTGTATTGTTGCACGAAAGCAAAGTTGGGTAGTAACTGAATTTTTGGTGCATATTATGGAGCGGTCACACCTCGCCTGCAGGAGCAGTTGCCAATGGCAACCATGTAAGAGTAAGAGAGATGGAAAATCTTCTATCTCTCTTACTCTTACACGGTTGCCATGGACAACTGCTCCTGCAGCCGATGTGTTACCGCTCCATTAGGCTGTGTCAGTTCATCGAGATATTTCGAGTTCAAGATATGACGTCAGAGGCCTGGAGGGACAACAAACAGACTACACAATGTTATTCTTACGGGGAAGAAAATTTGTTTCCACTTTCATCAATTTTATTCATACTTTAAACACGGATAACGCTTGTTGACATATAATAAAATTAAAATGTGTCTTGATAAATAATTTTGTTATATATTTGATTCAATTAGGGGTGTTTGTTTACTAACTTGAAATCTTTTACTGCTTCGGTAATTCCCACTTAAAATATATATTTTATATCCCCAAGTAGCACGATATATCAACCAGATGTCACGGTGATATCACCGGGGAATGTCACCGTGACATCAGGAAAATGTCAAAATGTCCGCCTTACGGTGATATCACACGGTGACATCGAGGTGATATCATGGTGACATCAAGGTGATATCACGGTGATATCACCGTGATATCATGTTGATATTTTACAGGGACTTAAAATTTTTTAAAAATTATTATTTTTTTTTATTTATTATTATTTTTTAAATTATTAAAAATTTTAAGTCCCTGTAAAATATCAACATGATATCACGGTGATATCACCGTGATATCACCTTGATGTCACCATGATATCACCTCGATGTCACCGTGTGATATCACCGTAAGGCGGACATTTTGACATTTTCCTGATGTCACGGTGACATTCCCCGGTGATATCACCGTGACATCTGGTTGATATATCGTGCTACTTAGGTCTTTTTCACGAAGTAATAATAAGGAGCTGGAACTCTATGGGCGATTGCCTGGCAAAAGCGTGCCGGTTTTCTAGGCATAGTACTTAGCAACTAGAATAAACGACAGTGGCGTTCCTTGCGGGTACTTGAAGAAGTTTAATGTTTCCAAGTTTGTTTGTCGTCTGCTTCACTGACAGCACGAAGGCTGACAAAATATAATTTAAACCGCGCGTGGAGAAATAGAGAATTAAAATTTATCACGTGCTCGCATGTGCTGACAAATTGTCTTGAACCGGTGTTTCGCGCTTGCACTTTGTGCTTTGTTAATGTTATCAGTGAAATGTCATGTTTTATGAAAGGATGTGGATCAAAAATAACTACAAAAGAAGAAAAAAATGGAGAAAATCGAAGTTTTTTTTCGGCTCGAACAGTATTTAATTTTTATTATTTATTATTGTTAATATCCATATTTGGCTTCAGCAACTACATTCTATATTTATTATTTTATTCTCCAAATATTTAATGAATAACCTAAAATAAAGTAATATTTATGATAAATGTTTTAATCTTCAAAACATAAGTTATTTATTAAATTCTTAATGAAAAACGTACCTTTCATTTACTTTCACTAATATTTAATATTTCACAATATTTATTTTATTATTTATTTATTACACAATATTTTATCAAAAACACTTTTGCTGTCAACTACAGTTGTTTACGCGATAGCAGACGACATACTTTGATTCCGATTTATCTCAATAGAGGCGCTACAAGAGCATTATTCGAAAACCTTAGTAACTCTAGGACACGCATTTGGGGTTGCTTTGAATGCATGGCGTTACGTCTCCTTATACTACTTCGTGGAAGAAAACCAAACTTTCGAGTTATTACAAGATAATTTGATGTCAGTACATCTTCCGTCAAAAAGCTGGGGTTATACAAGAGGAAATAAATTTTTTCTTGGTTTTGAGAAGGCTGAGAAAGAAGCATTGATTCGAAAAAGAATTGTGGTATTTCCCACTTTAAAAGTTAAAATTTTTTTGGATGACAAAGAAATGGTATTTTCACAGTTTATAAAATTAACGAGTATAGACGAATTAAATAGACTTTTGAAATGTATAGAAAACATTTAATTATAAATTAATAATTGAAACGAATTGTATATAATAATTACAATGTAGTGGTAAGAACATTAATGTACTAAGAATTTTCGACATTTATATTATTGTATATATGTTGAAAGAATGTGATTTTTACAAAAGAAATAAATTGTATATTATTTTTTAAGAATGTAGTTTATTTTAAATATTTTTAAATAAATATTCAATGTACTTTAAACATTTACGAAGATACAGTAATTTTAAATTATAATTTAAAATTGCAATTTAACATTTTTTTAAAAATAAACATTTAAGATAAGTTAAACATGTATATAAATCGAAATTTACTTTATAGTTAAGTCTTATTTTTTGAAATTTACATTTTCAGAAAATAAATTGCCAATGTCTGTGAGACATATATTACAATAAGAACATATATTTTATTCACATTTCAACAAAATATAGCATTAAAAACAAAAATAATAAAATTTAGAAACTCAGCAAGACCGGCAAACACCAAAAACAAACAAAATAGCGATAAACACATTTCACTATTGATCACGTGATCATCCGTGATTCCATAATTACCCGCAAGGATCGCCACTATCGCTTATTCTAGCTTCTAAGTACTTTACCAAGGGAATCGGCACGCATTTTGCCCACGAGTTCCAGCTCCTTATTATTACTTTGTGCTCTTTTTTAATAACATGCATACTGGATATTGTTTAATAAAGCATATTGTTAAAATGTAAAATGTCATTAGTAAACATAGTTTTCTAACCTCAATATTTATATTTTATCACGAATTAAGAGAATCTATCAATGCAATTTAATCAAATATATAACAAAATTAATTATCAACACACATTTTAATTTTATTAGATGTCAACAAGCGTTTTCCGTGTTTAAAGTATGAATAAAATTGATGAAAGTGGAAACAAATTTTCTTCCCCGTAAGAATAACATTGTGTCGTCTGTTTGTTGTCTCTCCAGGCCTCTGACGTCATATCTTGAACTCGAAATATCTCGATGAACTGACACAGCCTAATATGCACAAAAAATTCAGTTACTACCCAACTCTGCTAATAATAAAATCACAGAACGTCAAAAAATTAGTCAGGATCTCTGACGTTTTAAGACTGTTTTTGTTACGATTGCAGTCACAGAACACCACAATAAGTGAGGTTTAGTCAAAGAATCGTCAATAATAGTCAGATTTTTTATGAGGGTCGGAGACCCTTTTTTTTGGCCATACCATAAATCATTAAACCCTGTGACTATTTGTGATGTTAAATGACATTTCTTTCTATAAAATAGTTTTGAAGATTCCTGACTTAAGGCGCTCTCACACCTTTTTGGCTGCCTGCAGGTTACCATGGCAACGCATGAGAGTGAGTGCGACAGAAAATTTGAATATTCAAATTTTCTGTCTCACTCACACTCGTGCGTTGCCATGGTAACCTGCAGGCAGGCAGGCAGCCAAAAAAGGTGTGAGTGCGCCATTACTTCTCATGAATTCTGACTACAAATATTTAAAAATTAAAAAAAATCAATATTTCATCATTAAAAAAATAAATTATCGCACAACATTTTTTTATCTTTACGTTACACATAATTAATTATTATTTTTACAATTTATTATATTTATTTACTCCTATCGAAGAAAATCTCGCAAACGCAGGGAATCGAACTCACAACCTAACGAACGCAAACCGAATACCTAACCCCTGAGCTAAACTAACCTAACTGAAATCTTAAAAATAGAATACGGTTTTATGAAAATAGAAGATCTTATTACTTTTTTTCAATTTTATCAATATATTTTGTTCATGATTATTATTATTAGTTTAAAAAAATTTTATAATTTGTAAAAATTAACAAGTAAAGTTAAAATAGGTATATTGTAATATTGATCAAAAAACATTTGTAGTCCAATTATCATATATTAATGTATTCAATTAATAAAATTTGCTTCAGCAAATATTTAATTAAACAAAAAATTCGTATGTAAATATTATTTGAATTCGAACTTAAAAGAATATGTGTAATATAGAAATAAAATAGTCTAGAATAATAAGATACTGTCGGAT